ATCAGTGACTATGCTCATGAATGCTCCAGGGTGAAACAATTTAAATACAGTATATACTGGAATTGTTTGTTTAATCTCTACATTGCTTAATATATCCAGAAAATAAATTTACTGATGCTACCTTTGAGTCAGATGTACCTCTACTACAATGGACTGTGTAAAGCTGTGTATGTAGTACTTGGCAATGTTTGTTTTGCACTGCAAAAGGAGACACCCTTAGAGATTTAGGTATTGATATTTGAGCCACTGAAGACAAACTGGAAATACTTACATCCCTAAATAGGAAGGGGATGTATTTCATTTAGAAAATATCAATTATTTTTACCTTGTGCAGTAATAATTAGATACCTAGAAACAACTACAGATATATAATTTAATTATTGACATGTCTGTTTCTTTTAAGAAACGCCAAGACCTGTATGGAAGCATATGTAGTCTTCTTGTTGCCAGTTTTGTTTCTGACATGTCACTTCCTTTCCAAAGACCTATTTTTCTTCTGTCTGGATCTATACGCCTAACCCACTCCAGCTGTAACATCCTTAGATTATTTATGTCACAAATTCCACCTTCTTTTTAAACCAGAGTACAATTGCTGATTTCACTGTTTTTGCATGCAGTTAAAACGCGGAATTCTAGTGAAATAATCCAGTCAGCAAAGATATTGTTTGTTTTGCACACAAAGAGGTGTATTTCAACCTTGAAACTAGGTCACATTGTTATTGCCGTGGAAAAGGAAAACATTTTTTTTTCAGAATATTAGTGTTTGTAGCTCTTGCTGATTGATAGGAGAAAGGTAGTTGCCATAGTGATCTAATGGCCTCTGGAGGGAATGTGGTCACGGCCTTGAGCATCCGGCAACCCACCCGGTTTGGAGAGCCCCTCTGAAAAGGATTTCCTTCCACGGAAATAACTTGAGTTACTGAAATAAAAATAGCTTAATTTCTGTAGCTCAGACTTGTCCATAGGTTTGTGTTACACTTTTTAGCTGAGTGTGAAGAAGAGAAATGCATTTCTGATAAGGACAGTATGACTTTTCTTGAGGAAGGATAACAAATATATTGCATGTTTGTTATTCCGTAGGCATGTCCTCAGCCATACAAAATAATCCACACTCTATTGAGCCTAGAGACAAACCAATTGAACAAGATGCTCGTTTATTGCATTTATCCAGAGTTGGGGTTTTCAGAGCTTCAGTGACTGGTCTTACGTGGAGGGAGCACTCATGGTTTGAAAAAACTAGGCTGAAGCTGGGCTGGGTGAAAGAGATGAATTAGTGCTCACATGTGATACTCCTGTAACAGTAACAGAAACCTGCAGTCGGTCACTTCGAATGTGAAATTTCTCGTGGCACAGATTGATGTGCGAACACTGTGTTTACAGGCCGAAGACCGCACATTTGCTCTGCAGCTGTGTTTAACGGTTATCAGTTTGGCGCACAGCATGATTGTTTTGGAGGCAGAATAGATACTTCAGATCTCTTTTTGGCAGGTCCTGAAGTAACTGAAGTACCTACTGCTGTAGTGAATCATGTGAACTTAATTAGACCTGCTACACAATTAGCATTTGAGGAAACCGAAGGAAAATCCTTGTGGGTTGGTGATTTGTTATGTCAAATATAAATGTGCTCATTTGGGGCGACTGGGAATTGAAAATGATGAAATTTTAATGCATCGAATCATAAACCCGGATAGATTATATGCATATGTAATATTTTAAGTTGATCTTTGAAAAGTGATTTTTTTCCTGGGGAACGATTGAAGTGCTTATTCCTGACAACTGGAACGTATCTGTGTCCATGCTTGGGGACTGATCTGTCTGCGTACCGCCGTGGCCACCTGATGGCACTTCTGTGTGTGCAGCCAGCCCCCAGCATCTAATGAGAGCCCACAGCTCTTTAATAAACACCCCTGGTGCGGCTGTGGGGGCCGTGCCAATAACCGCTAATTGAAGCCGGCCAGTGCAATCTGAGATGGTAAGACCCTGAGCCACATTGGTGTTTACATTTTAATTTAAGGTTAATCTAATAGCAGGGGGTTTGCTTTGTTGTCTGCTGTTTCAGTCCCCAAAAAGGAACTGGATTTAATTCTCAAAAGCTACTCCTTTAAATACTCCAGAAATGTGGTTCACTATTACTGTCGTGAGTTAACTGCGGAGAATAGCTCATAGAATATCTATTGAGAGGAGAGGATTAAATATGATGTTTAAATTCTGTTTATTTAAAATATTTTTCTCATCTATTCAAAAGGCTACCACATTTTAATCAAATTACATAGTTACCTGTGCTCATCTACATTGTATCTTAGATAAGGAAATAAATGAGAGGGAGCAAGTTTAATTTCTTAATGAAGCATTTTAATGATGTTTTTACTCTTACGATGGAAAAAACTTCGAACCTAACAGCCCACCCTAAGCTGAGGATTCAACATCAGCTTTTGAAGTCAGGTGGTGGTTGCTCTTGCTCAGTGCCCAAGCAAGCTGCTGGGAATTGGACTAAAAACAAGTTTCAGTCATGCCCACCCCTCTCATTTGCACATCTTCCCAGCAAGTATCTTAAACAAAAGAAAAAGAAAAAAAAAACCCAAAACTTATAAATACAAACTTAACCTACTGTAATTCTAATTAAACATCTGTTCACCAATGACTGACACACACACAAATACACACACATCCTTCCACAAACACACAAAGGCACTAAACTGCTGCACTTTTCATAAAAGCTAAAAAATGCTGATTAGACTTGACATAAGCAAGCAGGTCGTTCTACCGGTTTCTCTTTCGCAGGTACTATGTAGTGCTAACATACAGAGTTTACCTTCCACCCAAGCAAGATTTTCTAAAGCGCGGTTAAGTCTGCAGTCTTTTGCAGTGCCCTGAAGATTAACCAGACAGCTGGTGCCAACACCAACAAACTTTGTGCACCTGTGGTGTCCTGGTCACCTCACCTTCTCCTAGCCTCCATTTCTCACTTCCTGCCACCACATTGAGTCGTTGCAAGTATTCAGTGAATTGTATAAATACAGTAGATATGCTGATCTATTTTTAAACTAGAATATTTTATTGGTGCTATTGGATTTGGGTACTGTATGTCTGGGTTCTATACATCTTTTGTTCTCAGTATGCATATTCCTTTTTTTTTTTTTTTTTTTGAACTTACGCTTACTATGGGCAGCTGCGTTTGTTCTTCTGCAGCTCCATGTTGTTTCCCAAGCTACTCACCAGGATGTGTTGATTACACACAAGGTTTTGTGTGTGTGTGTGTGTGTGTGTGTGTGTGTGTCCCTGGGTGCTTACATAATTGTTATCTTTGGCACCTGACAACTCTGTCAACTCCTGTGATCTCTGTGAAACATTCAGTGCTATGAGTCTTAACTCTGATTCCTACTTACGGGGCCTGATTGAATTTCTATAATTCACCCTCCAATTAAGTAGGTAAAAATATTAAGTAAATGCTCTGGTCATCTAAACAAAATATGTGAATACTACCCTTTTATATGAAGTATAAATTTAGTTTATCTAAGTTTATTATTAAACAATAACTTTGGGCATATCTAATTTATATTTTTACACTTAACATTAAAAGTATCCAGAACCAGATTCCAGTCATTAACCACCCCTTCATTAGTGGATCTGTGGTTTCTATCAGGTTTATTAGACATTTATCGGCCTTAAGCAAGTAATATAGAATTTGCAAAAACTATGTGCAGAATTGAGTTCATTGTACCAGCACACCATTTTCCCAATTATAGGACTAAAAATGGAAACGTGTGTATTTTTCCCTTAAATGTCCCAGTTCTTGAAATTCTAGCATAAAAATGTCTGTATGCAAATTCATAAACATGCAACCTGAAAAGCATGTTTGTAAGCAATCTTAACCAGGTTTAAAAACACACATGTAAATTTGTAAATATAGTACAGAGGAAAAATATATTTTGTATTCTGCATTTTATTGTAATTGAATACAAACAATAATTATAGATGATAGGCTTGTTCTAATGAATACGTTAAATTCTTCATATTAGCAAAAGCCAACTGCATATGAAAAATGAGAGCATGTATAAATCTTTTCTTATTCAGGTCAAATATTCCTGTCAGAAATTTGTTTCCTTTGCTAATTTGTTGAATGGTTAAACTTTGGGCATGTAAAGATAAATTTTCCAGCAACATTCAATTAACGTTTTTTACTACACTCTCCTAATAATTGATAGATAGCATATAACATTTACTTCTGGTGTGCTTTATTAATAAAATTGTAGTAAATTAGTGACTAGAATTAAACTGCTGAAAAATCACTTAGTCTGATTTATTCATTCAGCAAAATGGAACTTTAAAGGTTGTGTTTCTATGGCACCCAGAGTAACTTTTAAAAAGTATATTTAATTTCAGTAAAAACTTTGGCACATGTGTTTTGCCATTATGTAGGTAAAATAAAACAGATTTCTGTCCCCTCCCCCCAATATTGCCTTTTTTTTTTACATTTAGCAAATAATTTTGGCACTCTTTTAGACATAAACTAATACTGTCATTAAAGAGAGGGAAAAACAGTTTTAAAAACTTAGCATTTTATCAAAATAATATAATCTATAAAGTAGCAAATATTTTAGCTATCATTTTCTTTTGGAAATCCAGGTTTTCAAGTTTTTTGAAAAGATGGTGTCAGAAATCTCCCTTCTGGTAGTTTCGGTTTGTAATTAGTCTTGAAAGTTAAAAACAGGTTGCAAAATTGAGACAGTGACAAATCCTAATAGAAATTCTCTGAACAAAGTTTCCATCGCCTCAGTTCTAAAAGAACATGTTTTCCCTGTCAGGAGACAAAGGATTGTCAAGTCGAATGAGACAGGGTTGATTTCTGCCTCCTAAACACCATTTGGTGGTAGTAGACGGCTGCATGAAGAATTGCATGGAAAAACAAACAGAAAAATTGAACGCCTTGTAGGATCCTCAAAAGTCCCTTTTCAGGAGTATTTTAAATTTCCTGGTGCCAAGCAAACCAGAAATCCTACCTGTCAGACAGCCATTTGTTCCTGGGATCACCGGGTGCTGCAAGTCCCTTCCTTATGTTTATCATTATGCATCCACATTCTAAGGGAATTCCACATTCAAACGTCCTTGCTGTAGATGTTTTCTTCTATAGGAAGAATTTGAACTATAAAACTCGAGAAGCTTCAGCGTCTGTGGAAATTTGAGAACATTGCCTTTTTTTCCCCTTTTCTCCGAATATAAAGTGTTTTAACAAAAGCCTTGCAGCCAGTACATTTTAAATGTCAGAAGTTACATGGGGTAGATCTCAAAAGAATTTAAATTTTAGATGTTGAACTCTCAAAACCTCAAAATAACTTTAGAGGCCGGCTGCAGCAAAGAAGCCTAAAATGTGTTGCAGGGGGATTTAATAAAGACATAAACTTGTAGTCATTGTTTCTTGATAGCATTCTGTAGGTAAAACTGGTTGAAACGACCCAGGTCACAGTTCAAGGCTGTCCAGGGACAAATTGCAAAGCAAAACCAAACCTTTACAGGTTCAACCTAAAAAATTAAAGTGGTTTAGATGAGGTGCTAATTTTCACCTTTGGGGTTGCTGATTTAGGTTTTACGAAAATTAAAATGAGTCAATATTTTAAAATATTTAAGTACAGCTCTTGGACCATAATAAATGTTATGGAGTTTCTAAAAAGTTATTTTAGATAAGATTATAAATTACATATAATCACATACATGAGTTGTTCCTGCTGTGACTTATTTCTGATTTTTAAACTTCAAAATTCATAAAACTATAGTTTTGAGAAAAGATATGTTGTAATAACCTACAAATTAATAAAAAATTGATGAATTGTTTCAGCTTGTTTTCAATATTTGTACTACTTCAGTTTCTACAGATAATCTACCCAAATTAACAGTTTTATGTTAACTATGCTTATATTCTGACATGACTGTTGAACTTGAACCATGAAGCATTTCTATGTATTCGTCAATACAATACCGTTCTCCAACTTTGTTTTAAATAGCTAGATTGTATCCAGGGAATCCTGTATAGATCAGAGATACCATATCTTTCAAACTGCAGAAAATGAAATCGCAATTTAAGTAAATATCGTAATTTAGGATTAAGCAATCTTTAGAATGAAATCTTAGGAAAACCACTGTGCCAAAATGCCAATAATTTGCATTAAAGAGGAAGAAATGTAATTTTCTTTTAGGTCAGTAAACAAAGAAGGAAGTTTTGGTGAAGTTAAGTAATAGAGATCTCAGATTTTAATTTATCAAGATTTTGGTTTTACATAGGAAGTTTGCTGAAACTGGTCAAGTTTGACTTGACCATAAGATTTTAAGTTTTATATAATATGCATAAAACTATATTATTCATGTGTTGTCATATTTAGTTATATTTGTTCAGCTTTATTTAAATAGAAGAGACCTTTCACAAAGTGTTTATTCCATTCATCTTATATGCATGGTATTAGAGAAATAAAATAAGTATGCCTTTAACATTTAAGACAACATTCTGTTAGTTTGGGGGTAGGTTAGGGACTCTGCTCTCTGAAGAATTAATTTCATAGACCCATTTAAGTGAAAAATTGGTACATAGTAATATATATATATTTTAAGCTCTGTTTCAAAAGCATGATACATAGTGTTTAAAGCATTAGCCTAAATGAAAAATAATATCTTACATTAGTAAAGTTGTATTTATTTAATTCAGCAATGAAATTAATTTGGAGTTGTTGGCATTTTGCCTTTGCAGGTTTCTGTGACTCATTTGCTGAGAAAGTGTGATTCTAGACACTAGCATCATTATTTTTTTCATCTGCTTAAACTTATGTTTTGACTGTGGGTGAGTTTTCACGGCAGATTTAAAAGAAATTCGATGCAAATATTCTGTGGTAATATTTGGAAGCTGGGTGATGTCTAACCTTACATACTTAGGAATAATGTAAGTCTCGAAGTTCATGGACTTTAACACTAACAAATATACATAATTTTGAAATGCTGGTTTAATTTTTCTCATATTTTTAGAGTTTAACTCTTGCTCTGTGAATTATGACCTCAGGACAATTAATTACACTTAGAAATAAATTTTTTGCTGCTTGATGAATATAATAATTAGCAAGAACTAAATGATGCTAGGATTCAGGTTTAACATAATCACAAATCAATTTAAAGATGTTTTAAAATGTTTTCTCCTAGAAAAGAAATAATATCTTTATGATCTACATGTCTTGTCCTGTGCTCATTACATTCATAGCTTAATTTACTTCCCCTCAATCCTCCCTTCCTGAAGTAAATTGTATTCTCAAAGTTTAAATATGTTATGGTGGCATAATAGCAATTATACGATATAGCTTGGATCTTTTTTTTTTTTGCAAAGTAATTAAAAATCAATTTTTCACGTCTTTTACTTTGCAATTAAATAGTAGAGTGGTGTTTTTCATTGTTCCAAGGAAGAACATAATAAAATCCATATTTATCAAATAATCCTCCATGTGACAGATGCCTATTTTGACTTGTGATGTGTTTCTCATTACTTTGTCTTGCTTTTCTGACTTGCTATTAAATGTTTAGAAGAGTTAGTTAATAGTTTTACAGGAAAAGAAAAAGAATTTTATCAGCCTATAACGTTGTAAGAAAGTAGGAACATATATAAAAGTCCTATAATTTTCTGATTTCACTTTGAACTTTTCCTCACAGCTTTCCAACTCAAGATGGTATGTAGTCTTGCACAATGGGCTGCATCCAACTTTCTGTCATTAAAAGAACTGAGTGTAGATTATTCCAAAATTGTTCTAAGAAAGAAACATGAACCTAGAATTGCATTGAATTAAAAAACAAACAAACAAACAAAAAGCAAATGATTGCTTTAAAGCATACCAAATGATATTGTATGGTCTTTATTCTTGAATCTACAGGATTTCAAATTTTTTTACATCCAAAATAAACACATGTTTTAGTTCCATTTTTCCACAAACTTTTTGAAGTACCCTCGTGTTTTTCAAAGTGTGTGTGCCTTGATTATATCCTTTTATCTATCAGGCTGTTATGCACAACCGTTCAGAATTTGACTGACATGCAATTTTCTATATCACTGCTTGGAATATATGTTTCTGGAGATGAGGAGTTTTGTTTTTTTTTTTTTTTTTTAAAAACCGTTTCCTGAACTCTTGACTTTTCTATCTAACCACATTAATTGATGGGGTCATTCCAGTCTCTGGGACTATCAATAGTATCTAGGTTCTGCTTCCCACCAGGGGGCAGCACTGGATCCTACTTTACAAAGTGGCCTGAGTTGCCTGATCCTTCAGGGTTCGCCATCCTAACTTCCTCCTATAGCACTTTGGGAGGTATTTGAACAATTCATGGGAAAATGAAATTAAATTCTGTTAATTTTGGTGCAAAATAGCTTTTTCATAAGGCACATTTTCCATGAACTTTTTGAAGATCCCTCTTAACATATTTTTCATGTTTTCTTACACTTTTGAAGGCTTAGTCAGTGTTCAGTGATACGGTTCTGGGATTGTTCTATAAGGAATACTATTTCTCAGGTTTGATTGTTCTGTGTACTTGCATCATGTCTCCAATGATAAGTTGGTCATTCATTGGAAAGACCTTGTGCTTATCTTAAGTGGTGTCTTTAACTTGGAAGATCTTAATAGTAAAACAGTAGCCTAGCAATTATTGAACAGTATGGTGTGTTCGGCTTGAATCTGCAGTACTTTTCATATGTTACCTTACAATCAAGAGAAGCAAACAGGGAAGAGAACAACAGAGTTACAGAACAATAGGAAAAAACAATGATGCATGATTTTTATCACTGCTTTTTTTGCTGTTGAGTCAACAAAGGCTCCAAGAGGTTAAATCATAGAACAAAGGTTCCAAATTCCATGCTGTATCAGTTATTTTATGCAGTCTTGCCATAAAAACTACAAAAAGATTTGTTGAGGGTGACTGAAGCCAGTGTGGAAAGCCTGAAACAGTGATTTCAGTGGTGTAACTCTTGTGACACTGTGGCAGGAGAACTAGTGTTTGATGTACTTAAAAGTTTTATGGGGCATTAGTGTTAAGTATTTCAAGATCCTGAAGGATCATGTGAAAGCCCTAAAATATATGTATAATGCATTTAAATATACCTACACCTACTACTTAACTTGTATTTCTGTTTTCTGTTTCTATAACAAAATGCCTGAGATCAAGTAGCTTATGAAAAATATAAAGTTGTTTAGCTCACAATTTTCAAGATTGGGAAGTCCAGGAACATGGTGCTGGCATCTATTAAGGGCTTTCTTGTTTCCTCATAACATAGCAGGCGAGGGTACCACCTGGTGAGAGAGAGCTGTCTTCCTCTTCCTGTGAAGCCACTCAGGCCACATGTGGGCCCCTGGTGATCTCATCTAATCCTAATTACCTTCCAAAGGCCCTCACTGCAAATGCTATGAACATATGAATTTGGGGATTAAATTTTCAACACATAACATTTGATTCAAGTCACGGCAGTTATATTCATCAAAACATAGGAATAAATATAGTATGCTTAATTGTCAAAGACCTCTCAATAAAATGTTATTATCTTCAAGTTGTAATGGATCCTATTCTGTTCACTTGTCCTTATCCACTCTTACCTACTACAAACCTTAAATCCTGTTCAGTTTCAATGAGACACTTGGTATTCTAAAAACAAAACAAAGCAAAGCAAAAAGATTCTTTTTTTGGTACAGAAAATGGAAAATGAATATAATTTATTTTGCCTGTGTCTATGATTTTAATGATTTGGAATTGTTATTTCACATTGTTTGCTTCCTTTTCTGGCAGTAATATTTGCAACAATCCAGATGGCTAATACATAAATAATTTGAGTTATGCCTATTTAAATCACTTAGTATGGCCCAAGAGGTTCCCCATACCCAGTACCATCTGTTTGTTCCTGTGTGTGTTACCTTCATTCCTAAGTTTGTTCTTTAAGGTTCTTTATGTCTTAGCTTCTGTTTCCTTCAATAGGTGGAAGAAATGTCTTAGACTGGATTTAACCCATTATTGCCTCTGAAGTCTCTTATAAAACCTTGATCAATCTGGCCTACCTTCCATGCTACCATTCTCTTTTATTCCTATTTCATTTTTTCCTGTTGTTATTGCTACTCCTGGAAGCAGTGTTTCAGAATTTGCAGAAGAGTGGCCAAGCACATGGACTTCACCATCAGGTGTGAGTCTTACTTGACTGTCAATGAGGTTGTTTCACCTGGAGCAAGTTCCTACATCTCATTCTCTTCAACTATGAAATGTAATATAATGCCCACCTCATAGATTTGCTCAAATTATTTAGGAGATAAAAGAAAGAGTACTTCAAAGTATGCGGAAAATGGAATTAAATGG